ATAAAAGAGAGAGAGAAAATATATAGTGGCGAGATTATGTAAATCGAATGTAACTTAAAGTGAAAATGCATTTACCTGTTGGGTCGTCAGCCGTGCTTGTGTGTACAGGACAGTACCATCAAAAATATATCCTCCCAATCTTTCTTGGTGAACACGCAGAAGATATTTCCTCGTACCACTCCTCTCCACCACCGGAGCTATATCCACTCGATATTGATGCAGCACCCATGTAGGTAATGTACGGAGGCGAAAGTAATTTACAGCAAATGTCTGCGGCTTTGATAGACTAGTAATTGCACCTGAGGAAAATAATTGAGGAAATTTAGGAAGACAGAACACGTTGAGGGGCGTGGGGAGTGACAACGGTGACGCGAAAAGAAAATCAGTACCCTGCCTGGTGCTTAGACTGTCCGGTCGGGTTTTTAGAACCCTGGCGGGCGTATCCATGGGCCTCCTGCCTCGCATGTTGCCACGACCAAGGGGAGCGCTGCTGCTGCTGCTGCCACCGGCACCCCCTGAGCCTGACCCTGAGGGTTGCGGCTGCGTAGGTCGCCCCTCGGCCATCCCTGAGCTTGAGGGTTGTGGCTGAGGCTGAGCAGGTCGCCCTAAAAGCAATAAATGGTCGTCTTACTATCGCAAGGTACGTCACATCGCTCCATGACGCAGCCAACTTAGCAATACACTCACCCAAGTTCATCTGGCCCATCTGAGCGGCCAAATCAGGCTGAGCAGGTCGTCCCTCGGCCCGCCCTGAGCCTGCGGGTTGCGGCTGAGGCTGGGCATGGGCCCCTGAAAGGGATAAATGGTCGTGTTACTATCGCTAAGTACACACTCACAAAAATGTTTCCTTGCCGCCACCGAAATGTACTTGGGCCAAGAATATTTGTAGCAGATGATACGCGGTTATTATCAGCTTGTACTCTCGTAAAGTTCTCTAAAAGATGCGAGGTAGCACTCATTTCCATCGGCTATGAGTGGTGCCAACTTCACGGAGGTGCAGCACAAGGCTCCTTATTGCTCCGTGCGTGTAGGCAACCCGTCCGCACGCGCGCATGCGGTACAGTATAACTACGAAAGTGTGCGCCGTGAATCAGCCACCTGATGGTATTGGTATAGTCTCTCTACTGCGTGCCGGTGTGGCATGGTACCCATACCCCATGATAGGCATACGCCGGGGTACACCTTAAACGTGATAGAGGTCCTGACAACTTATCTTGACCGAAAGATTTCAGTCCGCGCCAGAAGCATTCGCAGGGGGTACAGCCTTTACGTGGTGGTTGTACCCCCTCACAAGCACGTACGGCACGTACCGACCGTATACGTCAGTGAAGGATAAAGTCTGACAACCATGTGCTAATTAGCAGAGAGAGCTAATTCAATGCTGCTAATTAATTTAGCTGTATGGCTATCCTTTTAGCTATTCATGTATAGCTCCTGGAATAAGCTATGTAGCTCAGTTTTAGCTGTACAGCTATTTTTTTTCGGCGTGTATCCTTAACTCTCCTCAAGGCGCGGGTATTCTCGATAGGGATAAATGTTAACTCCCGCAGACACAATTATCTCATTCACTATACTTCACCCATTCTAGTGGTGCGCTTGGGTTCAGGATCTCGGGAAGTCCACTCTCGCGACGACTCGTCTTGATTCTTCCGACGCCCCTAAGCAACTGACTGCATACTGCATGTTTGCTGTCGGTGGTTGCAACTATCCCCTCCCCCTCCCCCTCCCTAGTATGAATGCACCGATGGGGTGAAGACGCGTGAGGGTGAGGGGACCGGAGGGGACCGCTCGCGGTGATTCCGGGGGGGATGCGCGCGCGAGCGACCGTTGCAGTATGTATCGCTGCCGTGTCGTCCTAGCCTCGCCTCGCAGAGGGTGCCTCACACAGCAGCGCACCGTAACGCAGCCAATATAGCAATAAACACTCACCCAAGTTCATCTGGCCCATCTGAGCGGCCGAATCAATCCGATTCTGTTGGGCTCTAGGTGGGCGAGGGACTGCTCCGGCTCTAGCAGCATCTCCTCGAGCCGGTCCGGCCTGGGCAGCGGTCGCGGCATTGCGGTTCCAGCCCCGGCTTCGGCCCCCACCTCGGCCCCGACCCCTGCCGCCCATCGTTCAAAACTGCAACAAAACACACAGTATCGCGATCAGTACCAGGTCCATTCACAGTACAGCCCAAGGTTCGAGCACTCAGGAGCTTTATGTTCTACCCGCTCTTCTTCTTCCTCCGTTAGTCGAAATACACTATACTTCGGAAACCGGCAGCGTTGTTGTTGGGCGCTCCGCTCAGCCGCCGCCCCCGCCGCCCCTCGCTTTTTATTTTTGTAACCTCTCGCCAGGCTCGCGGCGAACCCCGACACGAGGCGTGCCGCCTGCAGTTGGAAGGTCTTCCCACAGGTCTCACTGAAACTAGGGTTACTAACGCACCGTGACAGCCGTGGGCGCGAAACTGCGCACGGGAACACGCGACTCGCTCGCCGGTCCGCGGGTAACAAACACTCCCCGAGAAACAGCCGTTGAACCGACTCAAACCGGAGGAGAAGACGGGACGGGCGGGGGCGCGAACGCACCCGCGGCCCGCCGAGGAGACTCTGGCACGTGCACGTGGCCGTGTGTTCAAGCGCCGCCGTGCTGCAGCGCCGACCCAGGGAACCCAGGGGGGTCCGGG